ATGAGTTAATTTTCTACTTTTTTCTCTATATTATTATTTATTAGTAATACAAACTCAGTAATCTATTGATTATAGTATTAAGTCAAAGAATAATTTAGAAGCTTAGATGCCGCAAAGCTACCCACTACTTGTAAACTTGCATTTAGAAAATTTCCTCTCCTTTGGATAATGATCTCCTTTACAATTTAGATAAGAATGAAAACTTTTGTTAAAATAGAACAATCTATATTAGAGGATTGTTCATCAGTTGAATTAGATTTAATGCTTGCAATAACAGTTGTCTTCCTTTAATGAGAGATAGCTATATTCTGTTGTAATGGTGAAGAATAAGGTTATATACCACTTGTACATATCTGTTCTTACTTGAATATTCCATTCCTTTGGGCATTAGTAGGCTTCCAACTACAGTCTAAAATCTAAACCTATGTTAATATTACATGATCCAGTGATTCTGCTTTATGAAATACACTGTGTGAAAACTAATGATCAGATACCAAATTTTCCATTGTACTCAGATAAGCTTTCTAACAACATTAATCTGATGCACTGTTACTTATGTACATAGTCATTATAGCGTTGCATGTAATTAAGCATAAATACTAGCAGTTCAAATAGATAACTTTACAATAATTAGTATTGCTTTCACAATCAAGCCAAGTTTTGAATTTTAGTTTTCATGGTGTTAATTCTTTATAATTCCTCATGATCTGTTAGCAAAATCAATATTTGCAATTTTTACATACTATCAAATGCTGTTTAATCATTTCCCTGTTATCCCTAGGTACATACACTAATCTTCATCTGAGATGAATCCAATAAAGCAAAAGCCAGGTTGTCCTTGTCCTGTTTCTTATTTTCACCTATCATAATCCATCTATCACCCCAAACCGTGTTTGAGGTTTAGCCTTTCAGCTGCATTTTTGCTTTTGGTCTTATTGATCTGCCCCCAAGTTGGTCTTTGCAGTTTTCACTCTTTATCCTTCAGAAATTTCAACACTGGAAAGAGTAAGGAGTTCAGGATAGGTATATTAGGATGTTCTATTTCAGATTGAGAGTAAAAAGGAGTAGCTATTCTGCATGGATTAATGGGTAAAAGATAGATTTGAATCTCTTAATCAATATTAATCAACCCTTAAATTGGAGACCAAACAAATTAGATCATACCTCCTTCACTTTCATTCATTTTTTATGCTATATAACTACATCTAAATCTTTTCTAAGAGTAAACTTCTAGAGAACTTTCTAGGTTCCATTCATGTTTACTGTCTTCAAAATATTTAGCAGTGATATTTTTGTTTATTTTTGTGGCTGCTCTATTTAGATTTTATGAAACTTTCTAGGTGTTCTACATACATATTTGATTATTTCAGTTTGCTTCTTGCATCTTTTGCTTACTGTTCACATATTGATGTTCTTTTATTTTCTTTTTTGTATCTCAAACTTATTCCTAAAAGGACAATTTTTATTCATTATATTTCAAGTGACAAGTTGTGTTTTTGCCTTCCACTTCTACATCGCTAGTCTAAAATTCTTAGAAATCAAGTAAATCAATTTGCTGTTCATTGTGTTACAAACTATTAAAGCTAAATATAGTAAAAATAGGCTAAATCATCTATTTTAATTGATCAGATGTAATTCCCAAGCTGAACTCTCATTCTGAACTAAATAAGAATAACATTGATTTATATAAAACTTATGAAACATTTTTATAATTATAATAAACCAGTATTTTAGAATGCAAAACAAAATAAGTAAAATTAACTAATCAAATATTTTAAGGATATACCATGACTCTCAATATCCTCAGACTGTGCAATGGGAGTTAGAATAATCACTAGAGGGATAGGTTTTGTTTTAGAATGACCTTATTTTGAAAGCAAGTCCTATTAGATATTTAGTGTGTAGTATTTGGCTAGCTATCAACTACTAATTTTCTCTTCTATAAAATATAAAACCTTGTAGAATTTACATATTTAAAGACAAGACATATTGCTGTTTCTTAATTTGTGACTATACTTTTTAGTGGAGGGGGAAATTTAGAAAAAAATTATCCCAAATATTTTAATGGTACAATTATTGACTCTATCCACGGCCTTTATACATAAAAAGCTACTGTCATTTATATTACTACACACTTATCATTAACCCTATACAGAAAATTAAAATTCAATGTAGTTGAATTATATATTGGTTGAAATTATTAAAAACAAAATAACAATTACAAAAAACCGAAAACTGTTCTACATAATTTAAGAACAAAGAAATTTAATTAAAATATAAGTGATTATCAGAGGAAAAAATGTAGATATTGAGAAAGATGCAACTAGCTTTCAAGGGAAAGTATAACAGTTATGCTCCAGACAGAGAGGAAATCATAATCCTTGCTGAGTTTTTAAATAGAATATAGTCAGACAAGATCATTATTTCTTTCCTGGAGCTCTTCAATTTACATGTACAGGAAAAGGAAGTACCCTGTAGATAAGACTGTGAAATCGGAGGAAACTAAGAACATATTATAAAGACTATGAACCAAGGGGCTGGGGATTTAGCTCAGTGGCATAAGCGCCTGCCTTGCAAGCAGGCAGCCGTGAGTTCGATCCCTGGTACCGATTAAAAAAAAAAAAAAAAAAAAAAAAAGACTATGAACCAGAAAAAGTCATTATGCACAGTCAAATGCTGATGATAAGTTGAATAACATTGAGTAAGGCATCATGTTAAACATGGAGGTTACTAGAGACTTCTTTTGAATACACAGTTTCTGCAGAGCAACAGAGATAAAAATTGATGGAGAATGGCTTAAAAAAGTGGAGGAAAAGAAAGATATAGATATTTTTCTTTTTCTCTTTTTAACTATACAAATCAAAGAAATAAGCAGTAGTTCCTAGCAGAAGAAGCGAGAGCCAGGGTTTCTGTTTATAAGTCTGGGGGAAATAAGAGCTTGTTGGACACTGAGAATGATTTAACATATGCTTCAAAAACTTCTTTAAAAGGTGGTAAACGTCTTGGGCTTTTTGACCATAAAGTCTCTGAGACATTATGAAACCAACCTTGGATAGGATATATATAATGTATCTGACTGTTATCCAATGTAAACTAATTTATAAAACAATAGAGTGGCACATTAGTTTTGTGTCATTGACCTGATATAAATGGGACAAATGATGATTAGAAGGGAAAACAGATAACAGCTTGAATGATATAGTTGCATGTGTGTTGTACTCAGGGTTTATAAGGGAAAAGATGTAATATAGGATGCATAATTTATAGGATTATGGAAAACAGTAAACGTAAAAGTGTTGGAGATCTTTCCACACTCTGGAGACCCAAAGAATCCAGTTGAGGGCCTGAATCCCACTACAGTGTCCTGCATGAGTCCAGTTGAAGACCTAGAGTTCATACCAATGTCCTCTACGAGTCCAATTGAAGGCCTAGAGCCCATAACAATGTCTCTTGCAAGTCTACATGAAGGAAATGCACTTCAAAGGCCCAAAAGTCAATGGTTGATACTAGAAATCTGTGCCACCAGGCTTAATGATACACATTGAAGCCAGGAATTCATGCTCAAAATAAGGGCCAAAGCTCCACTTAAAGTACCACAGCCTTCCCCAGCAACAGCTAGAAATGAGCTCCTCCGACAAGGAGAACTGCAGAATCCATATCAAGAAAGCTGGCATAGCAAGCTTGACCATCTTCACATCCAGTTCTCTTTTTTATGTTGTTGGCAACAGTCCTCATGTGGGCCTTCCACACCCAGGGCCATGCTGATTAATTTCAGCTGGGTGTTACAGGTTGACCACAGTATGTGACAGGTGATAGTATATATACCAAGAGGCAGTGTGGGGACTTTAATTGTGAGTTCGACTAAATTTTGAAAGCAAGGGGAATGAAAACATGAATAGGTTGGTGGAAACTGAGCATAATTGTAGAAAGTCTCTTCTGACTGAATCTCAAAGAAGCAAAAAGCAAGATCATCATAAACAAATGACTATAAAGGAAATTTGGAGTATTAAAAAGAGTGGATATGTTAAGTAAACTTGTGAGACAGTTAAAAATAATTAAACTAAGGAAATACTGTGGAGAATTATGATATGTTAGTTTGAAATGTTCAGCTGTATTTTACATTGGATTTTTGTTCATTTAAGTTTTATTATAATTTATTTCTGCATCCCAGGCTATCCTTTAGCAAATAACAACATATGTTAAATCTTTAAACGTTAGTCTTCAAAATACTCATTTCTGCCTCTATAGGAAAAAGAAAAAAACAGGGTGTTGTTGCAACAAATTAATAATCCTATTTTCAGACAGTAAAATCAGTCATGCATTCTATCCAAATATTTTTCTAGATAGGCAAAATCTTATTCCTGTTAGAAATTAGTTTTGCTGTGTTTTGCTCCTATTACTTTCTGTCTGTTTCATGCATTTATCATATTGAATCTTGATTTGCTTTCAGAACATACTAACAGTTGCTTCTATGATGTATTTATTTTGAAAGAGCTCAAATATAATAAAACATATTATGCCTAATACTTATATAATAGTTTTCCACCAATAAAAATAAATTATTGAAGTGGAATACATTTACATTGATTGCTGTAAAAGTTACATATGGATTGATAAATCAAAACAAACTCAGATTATATTGAAAATCAATTGATGTGTCAGATAGAAAAACATAAATACTGCTATCAACCATTGAGTTGATATTTTTCCTCTTAAAATAATTTAATTTAACAGAATTTGAAATCATTTGTGAATTTGAATATAGTAATAAGCTAAAAAGAAGAGGACCATTTGTATTGATCTAAAGTTTATTAATGATACTTCAAAAAAAACACAAATATTTTAAAGGCACAAGGTATTCTTTCTTCTTTAGATCAGTCACCAAAACATTGTGTTAAACAATGAAAACTATTTTATTATGGCTCTGTACTAAATGATACTTAAATTCAAACAAAATACCATATGCCATTTAACATGGGAACTGCATTTTTCCTCCACAGAATTGATACCCAATTGCCAGCAGATGAATTGTCAGTATAAATGTGCAATTGTCAGAAATAGTACAAGATGCTACTGTGAGGATGGCTTCGAAGTAAAAGAAGACGGGAGAGGCTGTAAAGGTATGCATGAAATACAATTCTGTTTGTATCCGCTTTCTATAAGTGTTACAAAATTCCTGATTGTATTAACCTAAAAGATGGAAAGGTTTATTTTGGCTCACAGTTTTAGAGGTTTAAGTCCTGGATGGATTGGCACCATTGCTCTTGAGCCCAGGGAAGGGCAGTAGTATATCATTGTGGGAATGTATGAAAAAGGATACTTGCTTCATGGCAATCAAAGAAAAAGCTAAAGAGATAAAGGTGCCATAATCCCCTATGGCGATTCTCCCAATGACCTAAGATTTTCTGTGAGACTCCCTCATTAGTGCCACATACTAATCATACATATTATAGCACGTGGGCATCTGGGTGACATTTGAGATCCAAGCTGTGGCACTAATCAAAATATTTACAAGCTTAGTTAACAGAAACTGGAATCTGAGCACTTATCATGTTTTGCCTCCAATATTCATGCTCCTTATTTTTAGTTTCTTGAGATTCCTAAGTTCACACTTATCCCAAAACATAAACTTACATATGAATTTATATCAATAAATTTTCCGTATATGCTAAAATAATGTAAATAAATAATATGATGATATAAAAAGTGTAAAATATATATATAATACAAACAAGGGGAAATGTTTAATTTAACCATTAATACAGTAAATTTTATTTTTAAACAATACATGTGATCTTTTTTAATTATTATAACACTTAAGTGTGTTCTATCTCGTACATTGCTGTCATCTACTAGAAAGATTTTAAATACCTGAAATTATAATTTTTAATCATATAACATTCTTTATAATATTTGTATTGCTAATTCCAGCAGATCTCATTCTCCTAATACCAAAAATGATGAAATTATATATAATGTGGGTGTCTTAGTGACTCCCTCTACCATGATTAAAACCTTATTTCTCCGTTATATTGATTCCAATCATATATAATCTGAAATATGTACATAGTAAAAGCTATATATATACATATATATATTATTTTATGGGCTCTATCCATCTATCTATATATTTAAAAATCTATAAAAGTACATAGAATATTATATTTTATGTGTGGCATATATTTATTTTGGATATGCTTTCTTTTCTTTTTTAAATATAAATTTATATAAATATATAAAAAATAAATATATAATATATATAATATATAAAAATTTTTTTTAAAAATCCAGGAAATAGCTATGTTGACTGCTAAAACCAGTCATTAGTATTTTCCAAAGAAGTTGTGCTTTGCTGATTATTTTACAACTTTGTTTTAAAATTATCACCGTAGCCTTAATGTGGAATCATAAAGTTCAAAGAAGCCATAAGGAAAATATATTGTTGAAAATCTTGACAACAAAAACCACAAAAGTGAGATCTTGAGATTTTGATTGATTTGCCTCAATTCACACATCTGCGTAATAGATTTGATAGGTAAATTCTGGTCTGTGGAGCTATACCATTTTTATACTGAAGTTTTAGTTTATTGTTTGTTTTGTGTCTAACACAAATGTTGTGGGATAGTTAATTATAACCTTACAGTCCCAGTAAACTGACAAAAGTGATATATTTGTGTCATATTGTTTTAAACCAAAATTTGAAAGTCAGGAGATTGCACTTCAAATTTTGGACTTTATGAAAAATCAGGTGGGAGGATCTCTGAGTTTGAGGCCAGCTTGGGCTACAGAGTGAGTGATTTCAAGACCAACCTGAACTGCACTGTGAAACCCTGCTTCAAAAAAGACCAACCCCACCCCCCCAAAAAAATGGCACCAATAGATCCTCATAATCATCCAGGTCAGCCTAGTATAAATAATGCCATATATAAATGTATCATTGGATATGCTTGCAATTTATAGTTCAGAATAGGCTTCTTCATTTATACACATCTATTGTGTCCATTTTATTCATTCATGACAATTTATTTCTGTAAGACTTAAGATTTGAAGTTCCTTTTTCAACACTACAACCAAATTGAAAACTTGGATTCCCTAATCTCTTAATGAAATGCATAAGCATGCCATAGTCAGTTGCTTTTGTGGAAGATTCATGAGGATTTCATAGTAACTATTTTGGAACTCCCCAGTGAAAAGAGAGTTTTTCTCTGCACTTTTTGATGAGCAGGTCTGAGAATCACTTATACTTCCTGAAACTATTTCCAGTCAGTCCTCTGCTTGAAAGAAGAGGAAGGTGGAAGAGCAGGAGGAGAAGGAAAGGCAGCAGGATCACAATTTCTGACACACTTCATTGTGACCAATTTTGTGGAATTTGATCAATATCACATCAGTATGTTCTGAAAACGTACTTAAAACAAAAGAATCATTATCATATATCTCTCCAGGGTAACATAATCACATCGGAAAATGTGAAATAGAAACCAATGGGATTAAAGTTGAAATATCTGTGAAAGCATAAAAATCATTACTGCAATTAGGGGCTAGATTTTATCAAGGGCAAGACTAAATATTCTTTCAGTAAAATTGCAGATTTAGTTTCAAACTTTGTTCTTCCTAATACCAAAAGTATTACTTCAAATGAACTGTCCATGGCTATAAATTATTATGGGACACTAAAGAAATCTGAAAATAAGTGCAAATGAAATCATAGCTTTCTAATTTAAATAGTCTCTTATTCTGCTCAGCAGTCTTCTTGCCTTCTCTTATTAATCTACTTTATTAGTTTGGGCTTTTCCAGAAGCGAACTCTGAAACAGTTTATAGTAACTATGTGTTTGTCTTCTCTTTTCCTTTGTTTTCTTTTTCTTCCTCCTCTTCTTCGTTGTCCTCATCCTCCTTCTTTTTGATCACTATTGGCTGTGAAATGTGCCAGTAATTGTGTGCCAGAGCTGGAACCTTCCTGATGGAGCTTGCACCTTCCCTGAGTACGAACAGAACTGCTCCTGGGGGGAGTAAGGGGCTTGAGAGACCCCAGGTGCAATCGAACCCCATGAGACGTAGAATCACTATTAAACATTTGAGGGAAATGAACAGACATAACTCCTTCAATGATCCCTTTCAAATTTTACTCTAAGTGCTTCTTATTCTTTTAAAATGTTTTCTTAATTGACTGTTTAGTATTGCTCACGAACTTTATTTTTCCAAACATAAACTTAGTGTACACTATCTGATATTAATTTCACATATCCTCCTTATTCCTCATGATTTATATCTTACTGATTCATACTTCTTTGCTCTCTTTTCAGGATAAATCTACTTCTTTTTTGGCACTGTGAATTGAAGAAATTTAACTTTTTATTCATTGTTTTCTCTAGTTCAGTTTGAAGCCTTACCCAAAAGAACTACCTTTACCTGGTTTGTCAGTTCTTAGCACTTTATTATGCATTTTTAAACACAGCTGTTTCCCACTGCAGTCAGTAAATGTTCCCACTTCTGCAACACTGAAATAGAAACACACTTCTCGCTGGACTCCGCCTCCTCTCATAGCCATCACCCCCCCCCACACACACACACACACTTCCTTATTATCAATGACGTTAGCCAATCACCGCATGACTTTCTCCATTTTTGTATCTTCACTTCAGTCCTCCATCTGCTGCTATCTGCTGTCCTACCCTATAATTTAAGTAAAGCGGCTTTAAATGTTTCCTTTCTTTTAAGATCCAGTTAAGACGAGTTAAGATCTTGTTGAGATTTTATTCCCTAAGAACTGTTAGTCCTCTCAGTACATCTGTACTTTCCCAAATCTCATATTCTTTATCCTCAATATAAACTCTTTCCATCTTGGTCTTATCTTGAGATCGTATATGACCTTTCTCCAGTCTACACTCGGTACACCAGGGCTGAAACTGTGTTGTTTGCCTGCTGATCTGGCAAATCACTGAGTAAAATTTACATCTACGTGGTAGAATTTATTGAAAATTTGGAATCAGGAGGTTTCGTGTGACAGCACGGGACAACAAACTGAAAACCTCAGTTTTCCAAATGAAAAATCCAGAAGACAATTTTAAGAATTATGTTGTTGAGCTCATAGTGTGTAACTCTTAGACACTGATGCGCCTTCCCTCCGTGGATTGCTCCTGCATCCCGGTGGAGGATTCACAGGCTCCTTTTTCTTGCCTCCTCTTTGCTAGTGGGCACCTGGAAATGTTTTGCCAAGTCAATATTTTTTCTTCCTTTCCTATTTCTCTGTGGAAAATCAAACTCTTCTTCTTCTTCTTCTTTTAATCAACCATGTGTGCACTACTGACAACCAAATACTCTAGGACAAATTTCATGTTACACATATTACCAGTCCCGTATTTCTGATTGCTTATTTCGTATTTTCTTAAGGATGCTCTACAGAGATCTCAATTTTAACAAACAAATCAAACTCATTTGCCCCTTTCCTAATGTCTCTGCTCAAATCTATTCTTTTTATAATTTCTATTTCAAAATTGCATTACTGTGTACTTTGGTTATACCCAATCAGTTTTCAAAACTTATCCTTTCCATTTCTTCCTTGTTTTTTTTTTTTTTTTTTTTTTTCTTTATTTAGACATGATCTTGCTAAAGGGTTCAGGCTGGCCTTAAATTCACTAAGTAGCCCAGTCAGGCCTTGAAATTGTGACAATCCATCTGCCTAGCCTCCCCAGTGCTGGGTTAAGGGAGGTGGTCACGACACAAAGCAATCAGTCCTGTCTTAAACTTCTGAGTTCATTCCCTTTACTCCATTTTCACTGCCCTTTCCTTAATTCAAAATATGTTCCAAAATGCAGTTTGTTTTATGACATATGCATGTAAATATTAAAGGATCCTTTCTTGTACTTATAATTTGTCATAATTTTAAAATATATATCTGGTCGTATGGATCATTTAATCGATTGTTGTCTACTGCCTCTGTGCACTGCACAGCCTTGTGATTTAGCATACTCTTCACTTCTTTAACTGACCCGAAAAGTACTTTATGGTCTAATCTCTTTCCACTTTCCCTTATTCACCTTTATTCCACTTGAGACTACACTTCTGTGACACTCTCACTATGTCATTCCAAGACTTTTACTGGTATTTTATTGAATTGAAATGTTACTTTGCGTCTCTGATCATGCTCCCAATTATTTTTTGTCTAAGAAAATCTAAATTATTCTTTAAAATCAGTTAAGTAGTAAATTTTTCTCATAAGATTCTGGCTTCATTCCCAAACTGCTTTACGAAATTTTCCATGTTTTTCTGTCATGACTAGAGTATGCTTTATTATAACAAAATACACAGTGCCATAAGTGGGAGGACACATGTTTTTAAGCTTCTGCTTTCTTCAGAGATTAGCTTAGTGGTTGGACCCAGGACAGACTACATATGTCTACATAATTAACTGCTGACAGGATGTCTTTTCATTTTCATGATTAAGAATCATTGTGTATCTACCAATTATGAAGTTTTAAAGTAGATGCTAAAAGAAGAAAACATACAGAAAGATGAAGCAAATTTGTATCAGGAGGACCACAAATATTAAAATAAAATTTAGTTAAAATAAAATTCTGTATTTAATAATTCTTAATAGTCTCCCCCTTTTAAATTAGCAAGGATGATTAAATAGTGTAGCTTGCAACTCTTTTTTAATTTGTGACTTAAAAATCAGGTTACTAGATTAATTCTTTGTTCAGGTAGTGAAAATCTCAGGGTTATAAACACTGGGACTTTTCAAAAAATATTTATTACTATGTATTTTGTACTTTTAAAAATCTCCAAGGAGTTCCACTCTGCCCATCACAAACATAAATAAGTGTTCTTTTATAATATCTTATTTTGTATTAAATTTGACATTTGATTTTTGTAGTTATTAAGGCAATAAGGAAGTTAGTGTTTAGTTAGTGTGGTTTTGAAAAGAATATATTTGTTAGCTCTTTTAAAAACCATACTCTGCTTCCAAAATTTGAATATGTTCTCTTCAAGGAGAAATAAATGTTCTCTTCAAGGAGAAATAAAATGTCCAAGAATAAAGCTGATTAAAATGACACGAATTTTCCTTTTAGATCAAGATGAGTGTGCCGTTTATGGCACATGCAGCCAGACCTGTGTGAATACACACGGCTCCTATGTCTGTGGATGCGTCGAAGGCTACGTCATGCAGCCCAACAACAGGACTTGCAAGGCCAAAATCGGTAAGCTACGAGGTGTTTTGTCTTTTCAAAACTTTGTTTCATTTTTAAAATTTCTTTTCATTAGAAAAAAAAGCTTTTTTTTTTTTTCATTTTAATACACTTCCATAATTCGAAATCCAGAACATAGCTCTCAGTTGATCATTATAAAACTTTTCCTGTAGCAGGAAGTTTCTCATTAGCAACACTTTTTCAAAAGAGATGAACTGATTGGAATCGCCCATCTCTTCTCTGGTCATTCTTAACAAGAGTCCTTAACACATTCCTCACTGATTTTGTATTACCTCTGAAATTCATTCTCTATATAATAATCTGCTAAATCATAAACCAGATCATGTTATTCTCTTTCTTAACTTTCTTAAAAATTTTCAGTCTTTCTGAGAATAAAATGTGAACCACTCACAGAAGAATGATAGCCTAATCATCTGGGGCCATTGCCTTCTGGTATCATCTTTCCTTTCTCTATCCTGCCATTGAAAATGATGGTCTTGAACTGTGCAAGTCTTACCTTGGAGTTATTACATTGGCTGGAGATTTTTGTTTGTTTATTGTTTGACTGGTTTTTGGCCTCAATGTGTTTACCTGTGATGCTTACATTAATGTTTCTATATTAACATTTAATTTTCAACTGAAATATCAACATGCCAAATGATCTTTCTTAATCATTCTATTTAAAAAAATATACTCTCTTTGTATTGTTTTAGTTTCTTTATTTGAAATTGACTCATTTATATATTTATATGCTTATTACACGATTTTTCCAACATAACATAAAGGAAGGATAAAAAGGAGGGAAGGAGTTATAATTGAAGGACTAAAAAGGAAAGGGAAAAGTGAACTGTCTTTCTAATTGTTACTAAAAATGTGTTCTCTACTCCTTTATATTTGATTTTTATGTTTTGAAACTGCCTTTTACCTCCTATTCACAAATAAATCTTGTAATTTCTATATAACATTTAGTCTTCATTAAGCATTTACTAAATGTTATTGATTTATTGATTAGCTAATGAAACATCTTTAAGGTTCACTTGTAACAATAGAAGGATGCTAATTTTTGGCATACTAAATTAACAGGGAATAGTAGAGGATTGTATTATGCATGACACTCCATCTAGTTTTTTCTAACTTCCCTTTATTCAAGTTTCACATTATGCAGCTTCAAATTATGTTGTGTTGACAAATTACTAAGCATCCACCCTCCCCCTTATTAACAACCTGTAATTTAAGCATGGGATGGAATTATCTTTTCTCCAGACAATTGTGTGAAACATTGGATTTTCTCAACAAGCTGCTGCTGTCTTCTCCCTTTACACATAACCTCGTGTTATGTTCAATGATTTCCCTGAGATAGTGTCATTAATTATTTACTCAAGTTATTTATATGCAAAATCACAAAGAAAGAAGCACTTTTTACTTCTTTCAATTACTGCCTTGTTGATGAAGCCCTATTTATTTTGGGGAAGCAATCTTTGAGAAAAATCAGTTCATGCAATTTGGTCCAAGTTTTCTCACCACTGAGAGTTTTGATTTAAAATATTGATGGACTAAAGAAATAGCAGTCTTGTTCTTTGCTATTTATATTGATCCACCCAATATAACTGTGATTACACTAGGGGAGTGTAAAGTGATAAATCCTATACAACAAGGAAACATTTCTCTTTCACACACAGAGGTATCTAACAAAAATAGACTGGGACCGTAGAGCAATGATACATGATAATGTCTTATTACATCATATATTATAACATCTTATTAATGACCAGTGAATCTAGCATTGTTAATAAATATACAAATCACTTCACCTCTTCTTTCTTGATGTGGCAACAGTATTGGCCTACAGAGAGTGAGAAAAAATACAGAATTACTATGGAAATGTTATTGTACTGTAAGGGAGATGAATTGCTAATAACATGCATATAACTGTGTAACACTACTAATTCTAAAGGTCACATGTACATTTGAATCAACCCATTTTAAAATTCAAGGGTAAAATTACTGGATTTGTTTTTTCATATTTATATCAAATAGATTAGACAAATGTTTTGTTTTTTTTTAAACCATATGATTCTCTTTAGTGAACCTAATTTTAAAATTTTGTGCCAATTTTGTTATGTGACAATGTTTCATGTTTAAGTATTGCTAGTAAAAGTTTATGAATTAAATCATGCTTGTCTTAGTCTGGCTATTCTGCTTTTGAATAACTGGCTGGAATTGGCCTTCTGTTTTTCTTTTATCTACAATTTTATCCTGCTGAACTATAAATAACTGATACTGCCTCAAATCAAGGCAGAGTTCTAGAGCATTCAGTTACTGGGGATTGTGAGAAACCAGGAAGACCAGAGAAGGATGACCTAAGAATGAACACAGAAATCGCCAGACTTTAGAAAAATATAGTAATATCAAGTCTAAATGATGCACTGAAGAAGCAGGTTCTGCAAAAACTACATAAAATGAATGATGGAATCAGAGGATATACTTCATTAAATAGTAATTTATGTGATAAGGAGGCCAATTGGCTGGGAAACTGCTTATAAAGTTCTAAGGGATTCAGCCTAAATTTATATCTTTGTATCTCTTAACTATTCTCTCTAAAACATGCTAACAGGGCTTATTTTTAGTGTGGCATGTGATAATAATTAGGTAAATCAATCTAAATTAATTGTTTATTTCACCTTTGAAATATAATGTCTGAACCCAAGTAATATTCATAAGCCTTAGCTTATAACTTTAAGAAGTAATTCTCGTGGAGAGAGGCAGTTTTAGGCACCATGACAGATGGAGAAGAGATTAATGTTAGGCAGGAAGCCTTTCCATTCCTATTCATTAATGTAATGCAGACTTTCTACACTTAGTAAGATTGACTCCTACTACTGAAATATTATTCATTCCTTTCAGAGGCAAAAGATAATCTATTATAGCTATACACTATACAATGTGTATTTCTTAACTAAGCATTTCCAAAAGAAAAGATGTCTGCAACATACATTTTCTGAAAATAACTTTAAACATATCTACTTGAACAATTTTATATTATAGGAGAAGACATGAATTTATAATCATTACGGTGTTGCAATCATTACTTTGGAATGTGGAATATGCTAATAGTTGGTAGTTTTTGAATTAAATATTAAGATTTTTTTTCTTTTTGGAGAGAAGTTAAAAACAAGCATTTGTGGATATCTGGTAAAAATTCCCATATGTCTTTACTTTTTTGTTTTGAGACTAGATTTCTTTTAATGACTTGATAAACTTGAATTTAAGGGATATTTTTAAAAATTAGTTTTCTTCAGCATAACTGATCTAAGCTGGGTTTGTTGTAGAAGTCAGTGTTGCATGTGGGTAACCAGGATTGAAACCAGGCTCATGCATACCCAGCAACAGTGAAGATGGTGATCTGTTGGTGGTTCTATAACCCATTAATGCAAGCTCACTGTACTGTACTTCTCAGTATCTAAAGCATTTACTCAAGACAGGAACTTACAACTAAAATACAGAATCTTTCTAACCACAAGTGGTCTATTGATTGTGTTGAAGCAGTAGCAATATAAAGAACACTAAATTTTACGCTCATCTCCGTAGAGCAGTGCATCACATGGTGCTCTAAGAAAGATTGTCACTTTGCTATGGAAGAAGCAATGGGAGACAAAAGCACATTAAATAATTTCTATTACAGCTTCCATTTCACTGTTCATTGATTAAGAAAAAAAGAAGTGGGAAAAGTGTTTGGACATTAGAGCTCTTAGTCCTAAAGAGAGTAATCATATTCTCTATTGAATTACAGCACTAAACAGCAATAGGAAAGGAAAGGTTTCATACTAGTTGCTGTTTCCCTTGCTACAGTTTTTAAACAGACAGAATAAAGGAAACATAACTTCCTGTGACTTTTAATTCAAAATTTTAGAGACAGTTTAACATCTTCTATTAGAGAATTTAAATTGTCCTTTTGGAAGTAGAAGAGTGACCTGTGCTTTGCTGTTAGGGCTTATTATGTTTGTGGGGCAGTAACGAGTTCCTGTATAGAGGGAGAATTCTCTCTTTGGAATAACCCCTCATCAACCACCTAGTAATGTGCATGTACTGGAATATTGTGAACCAAGTAAAATAGTCAGACATCTGAGAAGGATTCAAAAAAGAATGGGAAATTTTGGCTGGTTTTGCGCCTTTTTTCAGGACTCACTGTAGTATTGACCTTAAGGAGTTGTGCAGTCAGCTCTCTAAAATCTCTTTGTCAGTGTCTTCATTCAGCTGAATATATAACTTAAAACAGCTGCCGTTAGCTTTGCAAATACTGTTGGAGGACAAGCACTCCTATCTGTAATCAGATTATATTATTTAATTTATGTATTTTAGAACTTATAAAGCTGTCCAGACTGTCTTTGTAATTCTGGGCTTTTTGCCTGGCTACTGAAAGTATTTTCTATTTAGTGGGATTGCAGGGCTTAGAGCGATATCTCTTCAGGATCATGCTGATTTGGAGATTAAACTCCATAGTAAAGAAAGTCAAAATTTCTGATGAGTTTTCAGTACCTAAACTACAAACATTCTTTTTGCTCCTAAAACATAGTTTGTGAGTAGTGGTGATATTTTGTATTTGTTTTATTTTTGCTTTTTCAAGGGAACATCATCTTCACAGTCTAGCAATATTTTTGGTATCTGTAATCTTTTTTTTGTTTTGTTTTTTTTAAGCAATGAAGTGCAAGGTTCTTATGAGAATACAATCATGGTGTGTTATATATCATCACACCTGTTATCTACCCCTTTATGTTCATAACACCCTTTATATGTAAGAAAATATAAAACATTGAAAAGCTGCATATCCTTGACGTTCAGTGTAGTTTATACCCTCACTGTAATGTTCTTAAAGTTTTCTTTGGATGTTAGATATTTCCTGGCCATATTTACAGGCTCTAAATTTGAAAATACATTTTATTTTTAGGATATGACATGATAGACACAAATGTCTAACATGCTATTTAATATTTTTAAAATAGCCATCAAATTAG